GGCCAGCTGCTGCCTCCAAAGCTGTGGTGCTGAGGCCAGACCCCTCAGTTTGCTTAGGACAACTGAGGTGGTCTGGTGAAAAAGTGAGAAGCTGCGATTAGGGGAAACCAAAGACACCAGCAGCACCTGGCTGGCCAGCTTCTGCTGCAGGAGACCTGCAAACAGAGGAGCCAGGTCTGTGGCTTACCATACTGGCAGCACATCCTGCACTCCATCCCTGCCTGGCTGAGGGAGCCCATCCTGCCCTGTCTGGCAGCTCTGTGCTGGCTCCAGGGCAGCAGCAAGGGGCTGGCTTCTGCAGCAAGTGCCCCCTCCTAACCCTTAGTTTCCACCCTTCATTGGTTGCACAAATTTGCCCTGCTCGGGTGGCTGTGGGGAAGGTAACATACCCTCCAGGCACCCTTGCAGAGCAGGTAGCACTTCCTCCAGTGAGCATCCGAAATACCTTCCCCTGAGGGGATGATTAGGCCTTGCCCTGGGGAGCTCCTTCAAGGCCTTATTAGCGTCTGGGACTCTCTCCTTATTGTCTTAATTAGCCCTTTTTGTTCCTATTGCTGAAGGCAGCCCCTGTGAGAGTCTGGTGATTCCCACAGGCACAGTCAGGCACATGGTGCTGTTGTAAAAAAAGGTGCTGCAGAGCTAGCCCCAGAAATACCTCCCCTCCTGCCCCTGCTCCGCTGCACTGCCACCTGGATGGGACAGAGCCAGCGTCGGCGTTTGCGGCAGGAAAGGCACCGTGTGTCACACAGATCCCTCCCGGTTCCCGCTGCAGCACTCCCAAGGAGTAGCGTTTCCCAGGCAGAGGCACAGCAGCTGCTCTGGGGGATATAGGGGCTCTGAGTGGGCACTGTCCAGCCCCTCGCACTCGTCTCTGCCAGACAAGAAAACCATCTCCACGCCGCAGCGTGACCCGCCTGCTCCCGCCGGGGGCGGTGCCCCTGGCTCAGCCGCGGTGTCTCCGGGCGTTTGGGGATCCTGAGGAAGCAGCCGCGGAGCAGGGACTGCAGCCCGCGGGAGGGCGAGCAACAGACTTTTGTATCATGAATTTCAAACAACTGGCCATCTTGTTCTTGAGTGAACTTTTTACTGTTTCATTTGTTTGTGTAGAATGTTTCCGAAGCTATATTAATATTTAATGTTTAATATGAGGCTGGGCTGCTCCACACTCAGTGTTGTATATTTTGGAATGGCATTGTTTGGTGAGAAGACAGCGGTAGTATTATTCTGCTCTTTGGAGGGAACAGGACAAAAACCAGACTGTCTTTTTTTTTTTTTTTTTTTTTTTTTAAATGAAGTGAACTTTTTGTTATGAAGTCCTAGCAGGTGTCCAGCCCTTCAGTAAAATGGTGCTCAGAACCGCCCAGCGTGTCCAGCTTTTCTTTGTGCCCTGCCAGACGGCTCCTCCCGGCCCTGTGGGAACAGCATCCCCACCATGTGCCCCACCACTGCGTGGGTCATGCTCAGCTGGAGACCAGCACCACCTCTTCCCCCTAACCCCCCCAGTGAGGTTTGGGGCTACCCAAATCCCATTAAAAAATGGCTGGTTTGGGATGGGTGCCACTGGTGCTGAACTGGTGTAAACTGGTGTAAGTCCGCATTCCAGGTTATTTCCTAGAAACGCACTGGGTGGGCACTGCACCAGGAGCTCTGCCAGCCCCTGCCTGTCTGCCCACCCTTCAGCTTCTCTCTGAATTTGCTTGTTCTGTTGCTGACTGATCCAGTTTGTGCTGCGGGGCCATTGGTGCGCTGACCCGGCACTAATGGTGGGACCATGGCCCCAGGCAGACACCAGCTCTGCTGCCAGAGCTCATTCCTCAGGAAGGGAAGTGGTTAAGCAGTTCTCCTGCTGGCTGAGGATGTTCAGGGAAGCGTTGGCCGCCTGCTGAGCCCACTGAAGTCGGTCCAAGCAGGGCTGACCAGGCATAAAGAGCTGCCCCAAGAGTTTGGAGGCTCTGCTGAGGCTTGGGGGGGCCCTCCCCTGCATGCCCCACAGCAGCGAGTGCTGCCAGTTCCCACTGCTGACCCTCCGAGCCATTTGGTCTGCTGACAGTGGAGAAAGTGCTCTCATCACTGCTGAGAGGTGCTGGTGGAGCCGAGGCCACAGGTGCCCGGGGAGCAGGGAGTGCTCAGCAGCTCAGAAGCACTGGGGGTGAAGGGCTGCAGCAGAGCTGCCAGCAGATCTCCAGCCAGCAGAGCTGCCCTTGGCCAGACACGGGCCACCCCCACGTGTTTGGCTGTGGGGTAGCTGAGGGGTTGCAGCTCAGGGTGGGAAGTCAGAGCAGCCTTCAGGGGAGCCAGGAGGTGCCTGGTTGCAGGCTGAGACACCTCACTTGGCCTGCAGTTTCAGCTGAAGTTTCCTTTCTCCTGCTTCTGTCTTGCTTTTCAAGGCCAGAGATCCTGTTACAGTCGCCTTTATCAGGCTACTTTGGATGTCCTCAGAGCAGATAAGGTTTGCTTGGCAAGATCTTTGAGATACATACATGCTGGCCAGTACTAATGGCTCTATATCAGCTTATCTCCTGCCAGGTCTCCTAGCCCAGGAGGTGGTGGTGCCCAGCCACCACCCTGCACTGCCAGAGCCTCACTGGGCATAGCCCTGCCTTTCCTACAGGTTTCCCAGCACCTGCTGGGATCACAGCTGTAGGGAGCTGCCAGGGCTCTGCCCACCTCAGCCCTCATCCCACCAAGATGTGTGGGACCAGCCTGCACGATATTGGGATGACCCTGAGGACACAGGTTTTGGCATCCCATGGCCAGCAGCCTGGGGAGCTGCTGCTTTGTCTGCCCGTGACCTTGCTCGCCGGAGGGCGGCTGGAGCACAGCCTTGTCGTGGAGAGCACACGGCTCCTCTTCCTTCCTTCAGCCTTGGTTAATAAAAGGCACCATTCCTGCGGGACAGCAGGGTCTGTCGAGCCCAGCCTCAGTGCACAACTGTGTTCCCTGCAGGGCTGTGGGGCTGCCAGCTCAGCGCCTGGCCTGGCTGGTCCAAGGGTCCTGGGCATCACTGACCTGCATGAGGTGAGTGGCTCAGGGGATGGATGGTGGTGCCCACAGTGTCAGCACGGGAGGGAAGCAGGATCCAGCTGGCACGGGTGCCATGCTGCACCCGGCCTCCTGGTACTGCTGCTGGAGACGTGCCCTAAGCAGGCACAGACAGGCCCGTGCGGTGCAGGGCGAGTCCTGGCTGGGCTGCCTGTCTCATCAGCCCTGTGTGCCACACGACCGGGCACAGCAGCCCTGTGGCCATGCTGTGTGCCAGCTCCTGGCCAGACTGGGCACAGGGCACCACCGTGCCCCACGTGGGCCACCGCTCGTTTGTACCTGGCCTCTGCCTCACCTTGGCTAAAGCTCGGTGCTGGCTGGTCCCTCCCCCC